CATGAGGTTGATTGCTAATTGTATTCCTGCTATTGTATTCTAAAAATACCTTTAGGAAGTTCTTGTTGTATATTCACCGTATGAACTTCATCCGTGCGACAATATCAGTTCTCAATCAATTGTATGTAATCTATTCGATGGGTATCGTTTCACATATTTTATATGCATTTATTCTCATATCATATTTTTCAAACGTCATTCTTCTATGCAACAATTTCTCAGATGTTAGACTTCAGTTAAATTGTTACTCAAATAAAATGATTATCGATTGTACAAAGCTCAGAGAAAATTTTAAAAATTACATATTTAATATGCTGCATATCTCCTACTTTCTGAACTTTGAAAACAGTCATCTCTATAAAGAATTTCCATAAGTCTAAAAATGTACAGCATCTAACTAAGCATCGTTGCTCAAGATGCAACGTGCAGCAGAAAATGAAGCGAAGTTATTTCGTCAATCATCGCGTTTGGTCAGCCACCTACCCGCGCAGATCGTCGCTGACACAAAATTGGAGGTTATATCGCCGTGGCGTATCGCTCGTTGGATCGAGTTATATTCCCGGTGGCGGGTCGATCCCTGTCCATACAGACAGGGGACCCCCGTCGGCGTGTTCTGAATGATCCAATCTGTCCGCACAATAAATAATCACGCGTATCGGTACTGCCTACCTGCGCCCTCCGTAAGCCGAAAGCCGTAACAAACTAATCCGTCATCGGTACCGCGCGACCGCCGCCCGCTGCAAATCGCCCAAGGGTTTTTCAACGGGCAGCAATCAGCGACGAATCGATGGCCGGGGAAATGGGGACGCTTCTACGCAAAATACTCCGAATTCTGAACGCGCTGGAGGATTTAAACAGGGGTATTTAATTGATCTTTGTCGTTAACGAGCGGTTCATAGTTGCACGCGGTTGATCGGCGCATTCTGCGAGGTTATCTCTGACAAAGTTTTCAAATTCGAGGAAAGCAGTCTGAATATTGTACTGATCACAATAAGTACATGTACAGATGGTTTCTTGAGGAATATCAGACTGATGCAAAAGTCTCAAATCGAACGATGAAGACATCGGAGACTCTCGATAGAAATCGGTGCTCTAAACAAGCCGCAGTCAGTCATCAATTGCAACTAGATTGAAGCACCGTTGGTCGACAACCCAATTCCCAATGGGCCGGTCAGCCATTCGTGGGAACGGTCGAATCACCGAAGCAAAGGATCCAAATCCGATCAGACTTTATTAATGCATTCAAAGACGCACGTGAACGGACGACATGTGTGACGTTTTCCATACGTGGTCCCATCAGGTTCCAAACGTACACAGGTATCATAGATACTTACGTTTCCTACCTAGTCCAGGGTGGAAGGGGGATAATAACAGCCGTGTAAATGCGTCACTAGTGCCCCGTTCGTTCGCATAATGCTATAATGCGTTTCTTTTTTTTTATTTCACTCGCCCGCTTACTCCCACAATGCAACGTCGGTTCCCCTGTTCCCCGTGCCTCTCTACTCCCCCGCACCGGCCCCTTCGCTGCTTCGGCGATTCCCACTTCCTGCCTGGCATCGGTGATGCGCAGTGCCACCTTAACAACAACGAAATTCCCCAGTGGTGCAACGGACCCTTCGTTTTGTTTATCGTTTGTACCGTTTTGTTCTGTTTCTGAAGGAAGTGTCCAAAGGGTGAACTCGTAAGAACCGAAAGACCCAATAAAATCCTGTTGGCGGACGGTTGTGACTAGCGATACGTATGACGAATGTATAGCTACATTTCAATGGCAGCGAATGAATAACTGTCCATTGACGAACTGCTGTCCTTTTACTTTGCTGCTGTCCACTTACCGAGTGAATGTCTATGTTGCACGGTAAACTTGTATACTAAGAAATATGATGGACAGGATAATTTTGATTAATGTTGCACTTTTCTTATATCCGAAAGCTCGCAGAAATCTCGGCACCTATAAGTTCTGAAGTAGTTCGAAATAGAGAAATATGATCGATTCGTTTGCCAGTTCTATATCGGTCCCTTTTTACAAATTCAAGTTGAGCACAGGTATCGATGAACAGTAACCAGCACGAGCTGTTGTGCGCGTCCGTGCAGGTGGAAAGAGAAACGGGAAAAAGAGAGAAGGGAAAACGGCCAGGAGAGAATGCATCGGTACACGATGATGTAACGGCGTTATGAATATGTACAAAATAACAAATGGCCCCGGCACAAAAGAACGGTGACAGGGTACGCGTGTGTGCCGCTTTGCCGCGCTCCTATTCCGCCTGTCGCAGCGGCGTCACCGTGTTGTATACGCTACGTGATCGCGGTGTAAAACGCTGTTTCGATTTCAACCGTCCATTTTTCGCCTACTCGATACACACGTATATATAGAAAGAGAGAAAGAGCCTTGGTCGATGAGATACGCATGCGACCGCGCAATGACGCTCGCGATAATCGTCGTTTCCGATTAAGATTCCTCTGGCCGACAAACGAACGCCGGCCACGTGCTCCATTGTGTTTCGTGAAAACAAAATGTTTCGCGCCACTGCGATTTCAAAAAAGAATATCGATAAGGAACAATAGAACGAACAATAAAAAATTAAACCTCATCATAATAATGACACGAGATAACACTGTTCTAAAGTGATTTGCAAGCTTCTTAATTTACTCGATGAAGTAAATATAAGAATAGTTTGCAATGAAGAAGAAAATCGAAAGGATAGAAGGATAAAGGGGATCCCGTTAGTCGTTTACGTACTTTTATGATAAAATGCAGATGCGCCGGAGCAAACGTTGAACCACATCTCTGCTACAAGCAGATCCTGCCTTACGTGAGAAATCTTAGGGAACCGTTATTGTATATCGTACTGGCTGTCGTTCGCAAGACACAAAGGCCCTATTCATCCGCATGCAATCGCATGCATAGGAACTGATCCTGACTTCCAGCATGCCTCGCATCGCTTCGCGCCATCCTCCGCGGCAACGAGTACCTCCTTGCTCGTTCAACCTCGTTAGATCGTGGTAAAAGAATAATATCCGGCCTCGGAGCTGACGTTTCACTAAATGATATCCCGATTATACCAACCTGTGCTTTCTCCAAAAAATTCCCATCGTAACATTCTCTTCTCTATTCGCTATATCGAACTCTGAGTCCAAAACTCAGGAGTTGGTCACATTCGATAATCTTTCACCAAATAGTGAAGTATCTTCCAGCTCATGTACCAATACGGTTGTCAGATTTAGTAAGGGATGCGCTATCTTGCTTCAAACGATTCTGATAATCCTGTACCGATCAGCACTAGTTTTTGCGAGGTCCTAACCACATCGTTTGAAGGTCTACCGCAATCAAGTTCCCTGAAGCAAGAGGTCCAGCGCAAGGACCAAGTGCACTTTTTTCGCGAAGAAGAAGAAGAGTAAGCAGGCCCAGTCAATTCCCATGTCCGTATTCACGAGTTTCCACGAGCTGCTCTCTCGGAATAAGTCCTCGTTTGTAGGTGGATACCTTCGTCACGGTGAGCGGTTCGTACCATGGTTTACCGGACAATCGTAGTGGACGCGCTCGAGGACGATGAGCGGAGACAGGACAAGAGAGAGAAAGAGATAGAGGGGAAGGAAGAGGGAGAAAGGAGAGGCAAGAAGGGGTACGGGAAGAAGCGAGAGGAAGAGAGACGGAAAGAGAAGGGACCTTCTTCTTGGTAGCGGCCGCGGAGGAAGAAAACGAGGGACCACCGGGAACAGGGAGGCAAGGGGCAAGGAGAATGTCGTGCTGTGCTCATCGAGGTGTAGATCCTCGTCCCCTGGGTCGTTCCTACGCCGTGGTCAGCGTCCCACTAAGCCACGGTCACGTTTACATTCGCGTTCTGACTGCGTTTAAATTGCAACCGTACATAGAAAAAAATGATGCTCGTCTTCATCCGTCCGATCATTTCGATTACGTTCTTCGACTTTTCTCTTAATCGTCGAACGCGCGTTTATGCAACTTCTGGACCTTCTGTTACGTCATCGTATAAGCAACGCTGTTTTTTTGATGCTGAATTCGACTTTCATGCGGGTAGTTTAATTAAGCGATATTACGCATGGTTGGAGTTCAAATGGACATGTTGCAAGTATGAATGAATTCTATAGTTTACACATTGCATGTCCACTTTGAATTTTACTATTAATAAGAGATGCTAATGAAAGTATTACCTGTCAGCCATATTAATGGTGGTCATTTTGAACGGGTATAACTTTAAAACAACCAGCATACCACCTCGGTGTTCATTTTAGTTTTTAAATTATACCATGTTAAAACATGTGTACGCTATCGTACACTCTGTATAAAAAATTACTTGTGAACCGGATCGGTAATATCAATCGACATATCCCTAAATCGTCCACAAACGCAGCTGATAATCTATAGCGTCGATCAACCTGGAGTTTCGCACCTGTCCAGATCGTTTGCAGCTTGTTCTCGGCGGCTAGAAGCGGCTACTGAACGCGAACGATCTGTTCGGAATCTGGAGTGACTCTGGTGAACAGATTAAGATGTAAACGACACGTTGTAAGACACTGGTTCGCCAGGCCACGATAGGTCGACCGGTCGGCTGGTCCCTCTTTATTTCTCGTTCGTGGAAACCGTAAAGTCCATTTGAAGCGCGCTCAGTTCGCGCTCCGATGGGCTGCGAGAGCGTTTCTGGACTTTTACGGAAATCGGGAACCTGGGAGCACGGTGCGCCATGTACAGTGCTCGGCCTATGGTGGCGAACGACCTAGCCCGATCCATATGCGTACTCCGTTCGAGAGCACCCCGCTCGAGAGCCGCGTCGCATTCGCGACCACGTACCGACCAGAAACACGACGTTTCTCGCGCGATGAGGAAAAAAGGAAAGCCGATTGAGATATCGGGCCGCTAGCTGATAAACGAGCCAGCTCCGTTTTCTTTTATCAGGAACGCAGTCGTTACGCGCAACCCGTCCTGCGACGGACAACCGTCGAGAACTTGGAAATGTCGTGGTTGGTTTCTCTGAATACCGTTCACGCTTTGAAGCTGCCTTCCAATGCGCTGCAAAAAGCGAAGCTACAGGCTTGTAGTACTTAAACAGTCCGACAAAAAGGAACAGGTAATTAAACGTTTCGGAGCATGCGTAAGTTAAAAGATTTGTTAGGGAAAGGGTGTTCTATCGTTCCGATGTTTGCACCAACTTTATGTTACGGATTCTTGGAAACGTTAACGGCGCAGATAAAAAGAGACGCTTGACCATTTAGAGAGGGTTGACATTTAGTCAATTTATTTAAGATTCTGTTGTATACGAAATCACCTTGAAAATTGCCTTTCGAAGTCTCCTTCACCGTGCACGTTCACAAAGATTAGGTCTAACCGCAATCAAAGAGCAGCCCAGCGGATGTCTTGCATATGTAAATCGGCGACGACTTGTCTCGCCGCAAAAACTAGACTTCGTAGCTCGTGTTTACGGTAATAAATTACAAGAAGCCAAGAGCTAGGCGAGGACACGCGAGAGTGACACCGTACGAAGCTGCCGACTCCGCGTGTCACAGGATGATGAAGTGGACACTCTTTTCCTAGGCAGGATACGCATTATGCGTCTCGCGCACAGGCGTACCCCTACGCGAGAATGCATTATTCCTGCCTCGAAGTGTGACGCAAAGAAAAGATAAAGGCTTATCGTTCGGTCGGTAAGACCAAAGCATCGTATATCCGCGATCTGAGCCGGGAAATCCCCGGTCTTAATTACCATAGAGCGTCCTGAGCAAGAAGAAAATTTCCATTTGATCGTCGGTACACTAACCTGATTTGCGTGGGGATCATCGCGCAGAATCGTTTCGTCTCTCTCTCGTCGTTCCTCCGTCTCTCTTCATCCGGGCTGTTCTCGGCGATGATCTTTCGTGTTCGCGCGATAAAATCGCAGCGAATTAAATACCGACGCGCGGGTTTCGTTTAATCGGGATTCCTCGGCGACCACCGATCTGACCGTGCCCGATCGTTATCGCCGGTGTGATTACCGTACGCGCCAGAAAAAACGAACACGGTTAAAAAACTGGTCTCGGCTTATGAATTTCGATGATATCTGATCGATGACCAGCGAGAAAAATCCGACTGGTTGAAGGGAAATTTATAACCGACCTATTCCAGTTTCGTGCCGTAGATTCTATGGACGGACGCCGCACCGGTGAAACGGTAAATTATGCGCGTGTTCGCGCATGCACTTTCCGCCTCTGTGTTTTATATCCTGCATCCAGAAACAGACACGGGGCACCGGCTTCAATGGTGCCGTCGCTTGTACGAGCGATATAAAGTTTCTTTTTTCACCGTGAGGAACGGACGCTTTGCAAGGTGTTGCGGTACAGTTACGGAAGAGTGTCGGACAGGGGACGCGGAAAAAGTTGACGAGGTGCATCGTATTCTAGTGCACTCGCCTATGAAATGTTGATAACTTGTGCTTTTCCTCCTATCGTTCGCAGAAAACTTTGCTATAACTGAAAGATAATGAACAGTCTCGATGGCATCGTTAGTCACTTCCATCTTTTTAAGAACTGGTTTATGGAGATATTATCGGAGTAATTAAACTCGAGCATTTTTATGCCTAATGGGTAATGTGAATCGAACTTTAATTAAGTTTAATGAAATTGAGGATACAAACAAATGAAAAGTGAATTGAAAGCATAGCGATTTATGTACAGACAATATATAAATCATTACGTTCTCAAATCTTTAAGTTCAACCACTGGGTGTCCAGATCTGTAGACCTTCATTACATTCTCACATGTTTGAATTCACTCATATCTCATCTCCCATGGTCACTATACTTCTACCTGCATCACTGTTACATTTCAACATCCCAGTATTCCTATATCTTCGTATCTCTATATTCCTACATCTCCACATTATCTATAAAATTACCAGATTGTCCAGAGTGAACTCACAAGTGTTAAAACGCCATGTTCGTAAACAGTTTCTAATAACATATTTCAGTGATTTGCTCCTAGAGCGATAGAATGATGGGCAGAATTCCCCTCGACTACAGTGCGCGACAAGCAAGAAGAACACAGTGTTAACAAGTGAACAGTCGCAAATCTTAGGGCAGCGGCAAGTTCGGAACGCGAAACGGTACGAGCAGTGTGTACATCGTGTATGCATGCACGACTACATAAGTGTTCGTGCACACGGCAGCAGATTTCTAGGGCGATAAAATCCTGCGAGCGAGGAAGTCATGTCCCGTAACTATCTGAATGTACGGTCTCGCGGTTTTCGTGTGTGCACCCACTCGAAGGAAGGCCTTTACCGAACACGAGAGAGGAAGAGGAGCGCGCGAGTACGAGCGCCCGCGAGGACGACATTTTCCACGAGAACGAGCCGCGCCTTGCTAACCTGGCCGAGTAAAAGCGTGAAATTACCGGCAACCCGGCTAAAATTACCCTCTCTTTCCTCGTCCCTGCTACCTCGTTCCTCTTCTTTCTTCGATATCCGACCCGCGGAAACCGCTCGAAAATTGCACGCGCCCGGTGCACCTCGAAGAGTACTTCCGATGTTTCGGCATCTTGTGGAACCGATTCGTAGGACAGATTTTTCTTGAATCAATTATTAACATATTGGGTTTCCTCTCATCCACATGTGGATGGTTAGGACTTCGTCTATCTAGTGTCTTAACAGTCATACCTTAGAAATTTGCTACTGTCAGGAATTAGTTATCTTTGTCTGCTAAGAATGCTCCCTAAAGATCTCTCGTCACAAATTGCGTACTAAAAGAGATCAATTTGTCGATCAGCAGGTGTAAGTACTCTAAGGCACCGTTTGACCATGTGGTCAAAGCCAAGTCGTCGGAGGCTCGACTTAAAGGAGCAATCGTTTGCAAGGAGCAACGAGCGATCTTTGATAAGGGTATAGATGCGCCCCGGGTGTAGGCGTAATAAATTGTTTGCTGAATCTATTGAGCCTACACGATGAAAACAATGGGGCAAATGAGAGATGGAGGGCGACCGAGAGGTACCGAGGGAAATGAAATATTGTCTTGATCGTGGACGTCGCTGACGAAACACGCTCGATTTCTAATCCGAGTTTTCTGCCGGCTCGAGATGGTTAAACGATACAGGCTACGATTTGCATTAAATGTTACGTTTCACAATGAGCTTCATGGGATTTCCCCGCCGTCATTACTTCTGTTATCGGTTTACGATTAATCTCTTGATTCAAGAATGGCGCTAGATAAAATTCTTTTTTTAGGCATACTTTTAATTGACGTTATATAATTTTAGTAAGCACAATTTTAGACACGTTTCAAATACCTTCGGGTGTCAGTTTAATATTAATACTGAGCGAGTGGTAATTATGATTAATCACACGGCTGTCTTAGAAGTATACAATGTTTGTCAAATGAACTGTTGCACGAAGTGTGACTCATCAAAGTGCAAAATTCAAAATGCAAATGCAGAGCCGAGAGCAGTATTCATTTCTCTGTATCTAACCCCACTTGACATTTCAGCTAATATATTCTGCAGCACTCTTGTAAACGTTTCACCTGAATATCCTTTTAAAATTCAAAGTTTCCTTAACGAAGAGAGTTTCAAGATATGTCTACCAATTACCCATCTAGCAATGGTCTAGCAGTCAATTTTAGAAGCAAGGATTGCCGATGAAGAGCGACGCGTCGCCTGGATGCTTCTTTAATTAATCCGATCGAGCCGCCAGGCAAGACGCGAAATCAGTGATCGCGAGCTGTAACGAGCCTCGACACCCAGTAGCCGCTCGTTTGTCACGGATTGGTTAGCTCGAAATGTCTGTTCGCGAAATCATCGTCGCGTTCTAGTCGCCGTGAATCATTAGCGTCCGCTTAGGCTCGTTCTCGTCAAAAGAGCCGCGACGAAACGAAACGGGTCTCCGTATTCGGCGGTGTATTCCGCTTCGGGAGTTTAGACACCGACGAGATCGCGTATCTCCGCCACCTCGCGCTGTCTCACGCGAAGAGCATTGTTTCACGTTTAACGGCAAGGTGAGGTTATGCAATCCCGTAGCCGTGGAGGCGCGAGAGGACGAACGAGACGAGGACGAAAGGAAGAAGAAGAAGAGGAAGAAGGCAAAGATGGTATCGCGACGTACGATCACCGTGGCTAACTATGATGCGCCGTGTATGTGTATTTACGCGCACCCGCCTTCGCCTTAGCGCTGCTTTAGGCCTTTCTCTTCTTCCTTTCTTCGGCCTTCTCTCCATGAAACGGAAGCTAGAACCTCCTCGAACGTTTCAGCTTAACTTCTTTTTTACGTGGATCCTTATCTCCGTAATTAGAGACTGTCCTCTATTGCTCGTTTCAGGGATGCATTCTTTTATATCAGCGGGCAAGGTGCACGAACGTGCTGGCTGCTAAGCTATTCCCTTAACTTAAAAATTACAAGCCCTCTGTACTTTCTATATTTCTTCCAAGTCTCCCACAATTCTCGTAACTGTTTTTATACAATTTCCAATGTATCCGAACATTGAGAAGCGGGTCACACTTTTTCAAGTAACAAAAACTTCTACAAGCAATTAATGCTGATGAATCCTCGCGTGGAACTTGTCTTCAGCGACGTCGAGAACCACGAGTTCTAGCCGCAGAAGAATATCATGTCCGAGGATCTACCGCTTATTAAACCCTCCTTTAAAGGCGCGATTTTCACGCGAGACAATGCACAGCGACCTTAAGAAGCTTCGTCGTTTTCCGGCGCCTATAAGGCGCACGTTCATTAATCTCGATCGGTGAGTCACTCACCGTGAAGAACTTTCATCGAGGCGTAGGTCTTCCTTCAGTTTCTAGTTTTTTTATCTGACAAATTGTTATGTCTGTTTTAAGAAGATTTATACTCATACCCTATCGAGGACATGCTTTGCATTAAGTTACGTATCCGTACCACCCTTAGATAGATAACAGAATTTTTCCATATCTTTAAGTTCATTATATCGCAAAAAATACTTTGATAACCGAAGACGTTGCTAAATTTCTCATCCCTTTGTAATTCGTGAGAGACACAAGAGATACCAGCATCATTAGTATCCACAAGTCTACATGAGATACGAGCACCATTTATATCCACAAGTCTATAAGAGATCCGAGCACCATTTATATCCACAAGTCCATAAGCGATACTCGTATCATTTGTATCCCGAGATAGGAATATCATTTGATATTAATCGAATTATTCAGGAAACGATAAAATGGTCGGAGGATCCGATAGCCGCTAGAGCCGTTATAAGGTGGTGGCTGGGAAACGGTTAATAGGACAAATTACACTAATAAAAGGTAACAACGTCGGCCGTTTTCACGGTAGAATAACAATGGGGGTCTCGCGCAGGTCCATTTGAATATTTCCCTAATGCCTAGCCGGCTTGGTCGGCGGCGGACATGCGCGCGCTTTTTCGTACGCATCAATGCCTCGTAGGACGGTTCCGTTGGTCGTCTGTCGTCCGGAAGGGTGTAGGTCCTGCCTACCATACGAAACTGTTCTCGGACCTCTGTCTGTCTCCCGGGGAAAGCGGCCAGCGTGTCCGACGACGTGGCATTAAATTCGTTCTGCCACCCTGGCCATTCGTCTGGCCGTGCGTTTGCGTATCCGCTCACGGTCGCACGCTGCCGTCAGGAATTTATTGTCTTTCGTAATTGGATTATTGAGCTGTAACCGTGTTACAGCGCACGTGACGCTCTCGTTTCTGATAACCGCCTACGTTTGCTCTCCAAGCGTTTCGGGTGCCTCTGTTAATTAGGTTCGTATTTACCGACAGAAAGTTTCCGAGAAAAATATAGTATTCGACGCTACAGGCGTTAAAGTGTACGGTCATAAGGTGTAACGTGCGCGAATAAATATTTAATCGCCTCTGGCATCAAATATTCCTTTGCGAAACTACGTAAACTTACTGAACAACTTAATAATGTGGAACTTAGAATAAACACTCTATCAAGTAACTCTGTAAGGTTAAATCTGCAAAACTGAAATGTCAGCAATCGATAGGGGTTAATTACAGGGTACGCTCGAAGAATTTAACCCAGAAAATCGATGGAATGTATCATAAATGTTTCGAGCGTAACCGATAAAAGTTAGAACCTCTGTACCCCAAATTCAGCCCGCCATAAAGGATTGGCACGTAACGAGCAAATCGACGAAAGTTTCCGTCCCTCCGAAAGTTAGGAACAAAGTTGGTAAGGTCGAACAACGCGTGAAAGCGATGGAGGAACGCGGCGGAATACGCCATATTTTGTCGTCGGGTTGGTCGGGTATTGGACGGGGATCGATTGTCGGTAGGGTGCTGGCCGAGGGGATTCCTCAAATGCGGGGCTGCGTTAAAAGCACGCTTAATTTCACCGTGACACGGGGGTATCGTGTCCCAGCCAATCGGAGCATGGAACGATCCCGCCGGAGAAAAAGAGAACGCGATGACTGGAGCTGTATGGTGTTTCAAAGGCATCGATGACTCGATACCTTCACGGTTCGAGCCCACGACGCCATCCTGACGTCTAACACGCTCAGCAACGATGCAACTGATAATCAACAATGAAATGCAAAAATCTCCGCGTGTCATTTGCTAGGACGTGTTTGAAAAGAATTTTTATTACCAACTTATTACCGATACGACTTTCTTTAGAATTGCGTGAATACAGTAAAGAAAGTCGATGTTTGACTCTGAACACACATGTTCGTTAAATAAACGAAGACCCTTTTATTTGATAATGAAAAATATTTTCACCGAATGTATCTAATGTATCTATTCATTTATGAGTAACTTTGATTGTTAAGTGAATATACTGATAGAAAATATGAGCTGCAATGTATAGGATAACGACAAAGTGGTTGATGTAAATAAAACAGTACACACTGTCCATTGAATTCTTGCATGTTTTCAGGGTATCAAGATGCGTGGCTTGATTGAGCGCACAATGTAACAAGATGGTCGAAGATTGAAAGAACACAGCCTGAAGATGATGCTCCATGAAAGCTTAACATTGATCGGTGCATACAATTGCACGAAGTTTTCATGACGAAGATCCGTGACTTTCATTGAGCGCACAAGATGGTCGGAAGGAAAAAACGCACCCTGAAGACGTAATTCCCCGGAGCGTTGCAGAATACGTCCGAGGCTCGTTAATTCCAGCGTGTGGAACGGCGGATGCACGAGTCGCTCGTTTCCAGGCCACTTTTCACGAGCCTGAACCCGCTCGGTGCTCGAGCAGACCTCTCCTAACGGCGATCAGGTGTCTTCCTCGTCGAACTGGCCTTCTGGAAGAGCAGAATGGGCGGTGTCGAGCGGTACCGGAGACTTCACCGAGAGAACAGAAACCATAAAGTTTCCCCCGTAAGTTAGCGACCGGCAGCGAGCAGTAAAAGTAGCCAGAATTTCCATGCAGCGGTTGAAAACGAGCGGACTCGAGCGTTCGAACGAACGTAAAATCGTGGCTTTCCAACCCTTCTCGCCGACTGTAAAACTCGTCCTCATCCTGCCGTCATTTTTCTGCTTCTTTCTCTTTGCTTTCTCACCTCGCCGGCCTGCTACCGAAGCTAATTCACTTTTTGCGTTTCTGCGGTTTCTTCGTCACGATGCCTCGTGATTGGAGCGAGACTCGTATTAACGGGGACGAATTTCACGGTTCCTTTGTTGTCCAACATTTTTCTTGCTCTGTTAACAGTCTCAGGATCTTAGAAGAATTTTGTAGGAAATAAATTGATCGATTCGAGATTATGTCTGTGGACGGTTGTGCTCTAAATATTCTCCTAGAGTCGTGACATTTTGTACAAATTTCACATCACAAAATTAAACAAAAATTCATACACCATATCTACTCGAATACACTGTACATTATACATTGATAGAAATGTACATATATTAAGTTCAACACACAAGTAGATATCGGATTTAATTCTACCCTCGTAAAACACAACAAAATGACAAAAACAGAACAACTCTAAAAACTAGTAATACCTAAGCAACACCCTAAAACCTAAAATGAAAACATTGACTAATAATTACAAGAGGATTTTCTCCAAGCAAAGGATTAAAAAGAATAAGATAAAGTCGCCACGACGACAGGTAATTCGAAATCCTCTCTTCCGCATCCGGCACGACACAGCTGATCCGATGAGATATGTTCCTAGCGGATAATTATCAAAGTCGTAAGGGATAACTGGCTAATGAGGCGGCCCCGTTACGACCTGTCGATTAAAATCGCCCAGATTAAAACGTGTCCAACGTGATTTGGGTTCATTGATACTGTCCAACGATGGAAACGACCGCGTTCTGGAATTTCTATAATCAGCGACGTTTTCATTCAACCAGAATCGCGATCGATGCACGATTTGACCGATACACAAGCGAGGTTCGTCGTCCGCTGATGAACCATGACGCTGCACCATTTAATAAGATCTTTCAAGGATTTACAGGTATTTGAGGAGCGCTTCTGACGGGAAAATTTTATTTATGATCAAGAGATACCGATTTTACGTTCAACTTAATGGAAACTTGCTCGATTATGTTGGAACCCGTTTCTCTATTCTGATGCAGTAGTCTGTGAAAGTTGGGATGGAATTTTTATTTTTTTATGGTGTTGATGATTTCAGTATTTTATAATATAGGTTATGTAGCTAGTGATGGGACTTGGTAGTGGAGGAATGCAATATATGGTGATGTAGAGATTGATGGTACAGTACTTGGAAACGCTATGCTTAGGATACAATCCTTGGTAGTCCAAAGTGGATAATCTCACGTGAGGTGATCTTACGTTTAGTAATCCAACGTGTGGTTATTTAACGTGTGGTAAACCAACGCGTGGTAACCTAACGTGTAGTGATGCAACGCATAGTAATTTAATGTGTAGTGATTCAACGCGTGATAATGTAGAGCTTGGTGATCCTACATTTAGTAACTCAACGCGTGGTAATCCAACGCGTGGTAATCCAACGCGTGGACATCCAACGCGTGGTAATCCAACGCGTGGTAATCCCACGCGTGGTAATCCAACGCGTGGTCATCCAACGCGTGGTGACTTAACGCGTGGTAATCCAACGCGTGCTAATCCCACGCGTGGTAATCCAACTCGTGGTACTCCAACGCGTGGTACTCCAACGCGTGGTAATCCCACGCATGGTAATCCCACGCATGGTAATCCCACGCGTGGTAATCTAACGCGTGGTAATCCAACGCGTGGTAATCCAACGCGTGGTGACTTAACGCGTGGTAATCCAACGCGTGCTAATCCCACGCGTGGTAATCCAACTCGTGGTACTCCAACGCGTGGTACTCCAACGCGTGGTAATCTCACGCATGGTAATCCCACGCATGGTAATCCCACGCGTGGTAATCTAACGTGTAGTAATCCAACGCGTAATAACTCAAAGCGTACAAATCTCACACATAGCAATCCAACGTGAAAAATTTCCCCAATAATTCATAACATTAACGCCCCAAATCCTATCGCTTAAAATCACAACCTCCCTCATATTTAAATTTGAAAGCCAATAAAACAAAAAAGAAATCCAATGGCATTTATATGTGGCCAAAACTTTTTACCCATCTTATTTTTATTTCTTTCCCCATCGTCCACGAAAGAAGTTCGCGCGAAGTCTCTTTTAAAAGAACGGCGCTGAACGGACTCGGCATGAAAGTAAGATAGCGATCCGACAAGTTTAATTAACTTTGACATTGTCGCTGTAATTGCGGGCATCATTAAAGCCACCGGCATTGTAATTGAGTTAAGAAAAGCGATTTGCACCACGAGCAACGGGAAAAGTCTTGCCACGTTCGAACTGTTTTACGATAATTCCGGTGTTACTCGCGTTTCAGCCAATTCTTGCGCCTCGTGGCGCCAGATAACTGTCATCAACGTTTATTTACGATAAATATTGTCAAACGATGGAGTCGTCGCACCAGTTTCTCCGTTCTTTTAATTCCACGAGTCGCGGTTATATCTTGTGCAAGTTTTACCTCTTCCTGTGCATTGATTAATTCTTACTCTACCAGTAAATGACCTTCGTTTATTTAGATTCAGATCATTCATTATCTGTGTCGCGTGTGAAACCTTTGACTTACTTTCTTGTATGCGTTTTTTAACCTTTATGGTCAGGGATATATCTTTCGAAATTTTTTTGTGATTTATTAATTTTTATATTTTCAAAGATCTAAGATTTGAAGTCATAAAGTTTCAGATACTTAAACTTCTCAAGTTCGTTGATATCCAAATTTGTGTTTTGTAGATACATCAGTTTTTAAGTACCTAGACTTCTAAACACTAAAACCCTCAAATACTTATGTCTTTAAATAACTAACCCTCCAAATACCTAAACTTCTAAGTACCCAAATTCTCAGATACTAAAATCTCCAAATACCTAAACTATCAAATACATAAATTCCCGAATACTAAAACCTCTGGATCCCTAAACTCCCAAATACCTAAATTGCCAAACACCTAAACTCTCAAGCACCTAAACCCCTAAATACACAAATCCCAAAACTGTAGCCCCTCCAAATTCCTAAAATTCACAAACTCCAATCTCCCAGAGTCCCAAACTCCAAAGACTAAAAAATCCTAAAATTCCAAAGTCGCAATCTATCGATCAATCCACAATTTTCGATGAAGAATTTCGAACGGAACCGTGGTTTCTCTCCGCGCGATTCCTCTTCGCACGCCGCACCGTAATCTGCCTCCGATCTCGCGGGGTCAATAGATTATTTGATGAATATGCATAGGTGTTACTCATACATATACATGCACGAGTAATTCATAATGGTCCATTCCCCCTCGACGTGCAACGGCTCCGCATCTAGTTTACTCTCACATTTTACACGCGGCGTCTGGGCAGACCGTTTTAAGTGGGTTGTCGACACTTTGACAGAAACACGGTTACCACGAAACTGATATAACGTCGTCCAGCGCAATTTCGCTTTATGAATAGTTATCGCACGGGAATCCATCAAAGCGAGGGAAGCAAAATACGCGCGAGAGAAAAGAACAGCAGGTAACAAGGAAACTCGAGGGCCACGATAAAAATAAGTATATTGTGCGTGTAAATCTGTCCGACCATTATCGTCATGCATTGTTCACCGGTTTTAATAGAACATATTCAACAGATATAGTCATTATACGCACACACGTGCAATTAAGGTTGCTCGAAACTTTCTTCTGTTTTGACAGCTTCGGATTTTATTATCCCATCGAAAGTTTGTAGCAATGTTTAATCATAACGTCGAGATATTATCTTCGCGCGATTAAATGCGGTTATATAACGGGAGCAATGAGCGTAAAAATACTTATCAAACGATTGGCTTTTCATTTAAGTCCCATTGTTTACGATTGGTAGAAAGTATATTTCTCTTTAAACCAGGTCATCGAATGACCATTTTAAACGACCCGTTCCGGCAACTCGAAACTCGAAGATCCAGCCCAAGTTAATTATTTCGAAGAAAATCGAGCTACCGTCTTTACCGATTTTATATAGCGAACTGAATAAAGCTCGTGAATTAAACATGACCCTTCCCACCCCTTCGGCGCATCCCCTTCCCTTAAAACTCTCTTTATCTGCCCGTCTCTGTCTTCGTTCAAGCAGGACGAGGAGAATGGTTGAAAAGAGAGAAGGAGCATGAACGAGCGCTCGGTATTGATGCATAAAACGTGCATATTTACGAAGCCTGTTTTCACGGATGTGAACACCCGGTATGCGCCGCTCGAAGAGAGGAAGGCAACCGGGCCCGGACTGCATCACGAGCGCCATTTATTTATTTTACCCCGGCGGATGGATAAAACTTGTTTACGGTACACGAACACCGACACGCCGTGATACGTGTGCGTTTGTACACGCGTGTAGAAAACGCGGCCGCGTTGTACGAGCATCGACGGTAAGCGTGTACGCGCGAGCAGAACGCGCGGATTTGCTCGTAATGAACGACGACAGCATCCGACACTCGCGCGGCCA